CTAGGTGTCCCTTCCAGTTCTACGATTCTTTGGTATTGAGATTTCTTGGGTGCCAAAGCAACAATATAAAGCTAGCTCAGGCAAGTCTAGGTAAGCTGTGAACACACCCCGTGATTGCAGCATAGACATTACCTGTGTTCAAACCATGATGGTACAGAGACCTTCCTGTGTTCAAACCACGACAACATACTTCAGTCTCCACCTGCTAGCTCCTCCCAGAGCTTCACTTTCCCAGTTCTTACAGTAGAGCATTTTCAGCTAACAACTGAGAGGGACCGTCAATTTTAGGGTGACATTCCCCTGTGCAGAGGGTCAGCATAAAATCCACACACCACTTAATCCCACTTACACCCTCTTCTGAGGTCATACATGAAACTGAGCCCTAGTGCCAGCTTGCTGCATGGCATGAATCGCACACTTGTTGAACCCTTTCATTTGCGACTCCAAGGCATGTGTTATATCCCGGGAGCTCTTTCCAGTTAGGTCTGAAGCTGCCCAGGCATCCCTTGCAGCAAGACCACCTTTGCAAACAAATAAATAATACTGAAAAACTGTAACTCTCAAAGGGAGAAAATCTGCTGTGGAGCCTGGTTTCAAACCACACAGACACACACCTACCTGTGATCGGCTAAACCATTTGCATGCATTAGGTCATGGAAGAAATATCATTTTGAATTCCTCACTGGTGCTTTCTGCACACCGGATCCTATTCCTACTGAAGTCAATGGGAGTTTCCCTACTATTTATATTACCATAGCATCTTGGAGCCCTAGTTATGAACCACATGCTCATACCAATAGGCACAGATCTCAACGGGAACAGGAACGGGCCTTTTACTACTCTTCCCATTGCCCACATCAGCAGAGATTTATTTGTGTGTTGTTTAGTATGGGTTCCCCCCCCCCCTTACTAGCCCCTCATCAGTTTCAGTGTTGAAGAGCTAAAAGATTTGTGGTTCTCGGTTTTATTTGAACTTTGTGGATTTCTAAGTTGCATGCTACCGTATGCTCCGATTATTAAAGATCTGATATGGATTGTGCATCTTACCCAATAGTGACCCGGAGAGAGTTTTGGGTTTTTTTTTGCTTTGTTTTGTCTCCTATCAATCATCAGTACTTTTAAACAAGATGAAGTTTCTGTGTGGTTTTAAAACAACGTGTTCATTCACTCTGGCAGCTGCATCACTTCTAGCCAAACTGTGACTCTCTTGCACCAGTGACAACACAGTATCTGCAAAGCCTGCAGATACCCCTGTTCTAAGGATTCAGTACACAGCTACCTTGCCAGTTACATGCCAATGGCAACCAAGTGGCTGCAAGTACAGTATGTTTCCGGGGGCAGGAGGAGGGGGACACTGTAGCTGTGCATTCCAGTCATATTTACATTGTGTGTGTCAGGTGCTATAAACAGGAGCTGAATCATCATTAATAGGCAAATGAAAAACCATTTTAAAGAAAACCACATAGAGAAAACAGAAAGATGGAACTCTACTAAATAAAGACCCTTGCTTCACTATTAAAACCAGTCAGATTAAAATAATTCATTTCCTTTTTCAATGGTTTTCATTTTATTTTCCATGCTTGTGAAAAGCAGCAAGCAGGCAGCACTGAAGACTAGGATCTGCACAAAGAACAACAAAAAGGTACATCTGAAAAAGACTAAGTCCCCTCCTATTGCCCAGTCAATATGCCTCAAATCCTTTTTTGGGGAACCTGCTGGTGAAAAGGTGCTTTTGTCTTCCATGTCTATTCAGGCCCCAGCAACTCTGCTGAACTCAGTTAGCCATAGTAATATTTGTGAGGTGAACATCTATCCAATAAGAAATGTGATGAGCCTACACACTGATTTCAACAGTAGCAAGAGTCACTATCCACTTCAGTCAGATTTTAATAAGCAACATAGGGCCTGTATCCACAGAATAATTCTTTAAAGTCAATTCAAACAGTCACACTGGCATGTTAGACTCACATGTTGCTTTCACACTAGCTTCCTACCAGACCATGTTTGTACCATGGTCACTATTTTTGTCTTTTTACTATACTGAGGAAACTAGAGATAGCATGGAGTTTAACTGACAGTAAGATCAATACACCAGGTGTATGGATTTATGGTTCCATCCTGTTCCCAAGTTAAAGTTCTGATCCTGAAACCTCTGCACCCAAGTGCAGACCCATTAATTCAAAACAGCGACAATCACCAGTTTGCATGCAAAAAGATGTTGCAGGGTCAGGTAAGGCCCCCAAGGGGAGGAAAAAAATCAAGCCAAAAGATAAGGGACAAACTAAAATCTTTAGGCACACTAATAGAAAGGGCAATAAAAAGTAAATTGATATTGTTAGACACAAGGCAGGTGAGATATCATCTTTTACCAGACCAAATGGTGTTGGAGGAAGGTACAAGCTTTGGAACTTTGCAGAGTTCTTCTCCAGGTCTGGGGAACGAAATCAGAGTGCCCAAGCTAAATATAAGTTGGGACAAAGAGGAGTAGCACATGTCATAGGAGGTAGTTTGAGACGGGGTGGGCAGTATGGGCTAGATTGCAATGCAAAAGGAGTTTGAAGAGGGCCACTAAGGGTTAGCAGGCAGGTGTGTGTTGCAGAATGCTGTGATCAGCCATGAAATCAGGGTCCCTGTTGAGTTCACCTTTTTTGGCATCTATCAGCAGTAAGCTGTGGTTGTTGTTGTTTTAAGAGAACCTAGTGGGATTTCATGTCTAGTCAAGTGACAAATGCCACGGTATGAAACGTGTTGTGAATAAGGGCTATTTAGTACTATTTCAACAGATCTCAAAATACTTTCAGGCAGGTGGTTTTACAAAGTGCATAATGTTAATACCAAACTAAAAGTCACGTCCCATAATTTCTTCACTGCCAAACAGAGACCAGGTATTCCTATGAAACAACAGGGTTACCCTGATCAAAAAGTAATCACCTTGCTTTTCTGATGCAAATGGGTGTTTGTCTTCTGTTTAGGATAGATCAAAGATACAGGAAGGAAACAGTTCCTGGTAAAAGACATTTACAGAGATTCTCCAGTCTTGCTATTGAGTTTCTAAAAGCACTAAAAGAACAGCTGATTATTAGAACAGACATCTGAGTAAACGCTATCAGCATCACACACGTAATCATTGGGAATGAAACCAAGGGCACAATTCCACTAAACCTCATGCCCGCTGGGGTCAATGGGATTAGTCACATGAGTAAGTACTGGAAGGATCAGGACCTTAGTTTCTACTACTGCTTTGGCAAGAGACTGATCATTATGCAGAAAGCCCTTTCATTCATACATGACCGAATGTCTGCATGAGCTTTAAAGGAAACGTTGCTATCGTAATTTAAACAGGTACACCACTGCTACTGCAGTCTGCAAATAAATCACTCGCGCATAATCTTTTGACAAATAAATGTGATGTAATTATTACAGGAAATCCAGGCAAAACTAAAAACCAGAAGTTGAGACTCGTATGCAGCCACATACACTGGAACCAAAGACAAATGCATGCAAGAGGAGTGGCAATTTTATTCAGTGGAGGATCGGTTTAAAGGAGTATGTGCTCCTCTCCAATTTATTCTTAGTTAGGCCTCCCTTCCCCCTTTCTCCCCTGCCAGCATATGAGGTTAGACTGTTCAGCTGTTTATAAAACCTAGTGTTGTACTGAAATGTACACTGCAACATTCCTCCCCGGCACTCATACGAGCTATATAAGGAAATATCCAATTCCAGCGTGTTCACCATTGTGATGATAGAGCTCTGTACACTGGGACAGCCCCTGAGTTGGTTTCTTAAAAGCGTACTTAAATATATCCTAGGCCTAACAAACATTGTGCTGGACGTTGTCATCAAATGGCAGCATAGACAGCTGCCAAATCTTGCAGGCTCAGTGCTCTAATATGGAACAGCTGGAAGAAGACCCTGCATTCTTTTCTCTCAGTAAACACTGGGGGCTCTGTTCAGTATCCTAATGCAATAAAGCCTAAAGAATTTCACCTATCAACTGGCAGACTTCCCCCCCCCCCCCACACACACACACACAGTTTATGCTTTTTGTGTTCTTTTAACCATGTGTAGAAGTCCAGGTTGTACTTATGAAATACTAAAAGTTATATTAAAATATTGAAGACAAGGAATAGGAGGCATTATACTTTTGGGGGGGGAAGGGGGGGATTTTTTGCAAGTGGAATAGACCAAGATAATTTAGGCATGTGTTTAACCTCATCTCTGCAAAGAGCCGAGTTGAGTTTTATTTTTGAAGATTTCTTTAAAGGTGTGTGTGTGAGTGTACACTTGGGACTCCTGCTTTGTGTGTATGCACATTTCACTTACACCATTTTAGTTCTCCTAACTTTCACTGATGTATAAATAAGATCAAAATCAGGCCCTTATATATTAAAGGCACATCCCTGAGAAAGTACACCCACAGTATTCACTAACTGAACTATGTATAGCAGCCTAAATGGTCTAACTAATGTTTTCCCAGAGCTTCTGGGGAATATATAGAGTACTTAAAGCTGCAGGGGGGAAAAAGAAGTGTGTTCAAACAGGACTTGAACGATGAAACAAATTACCATTTAGCAAAAGATTAAGATACCTCAGCTAGCCACAGCTCAGCTAAATACTCGTTTTGTGTAAGATAATGAGGAGATTCTTCTGCATGTTGCTGAAAGCAAAGCAAGCCACGCTGTCCAAAAGAAGCCTAGAAAATCCAGACTCTACGTGACCTGACTTACTTATTTCACAGGAAACTGCATGAGAGAAAAATCAATCATTCATGCTACTGTAGTTACACCACTGAATAAACTGTAGTAGGTTGCGGCGAAAAATCAAACTGAAATAAGTCATCACTAGTCTGAAACATAAAATGTAGGAAGGGGAAGCTGCTAACAATGAGGCTGGTTCATTTGGAGTCCTGGCTCCCTGACCTCCCCTTTTTTTGCCAACACTAGGGTATCAATCAGAGAACAATGTAGTATTCAAAATGGATTGGTTGCACCAAAACTTACCAGGATTGTTGGCTTCCCCTTCAAGCATGTGCAGCTCAGTGCAATCTGCCAGCGAATGCTCCAGGCAAAGCTGGAGGAAACGGGCTTGGGTTCGACTCACCCGCTTCAAAAAGGAGAGCAAAGCAACAGTCTGCTCGCATTCATTCCAGCCTTTAAACCAACCGGCCAGCACTCCAACCTGATC